CTACTACTACTACTACTACTACTACTACTACTACTACTACTACTACTACTACTACTACTACTACTACTACTACTACTACTACTACTACTACTACTACTACTACTACTACTACTACTACTACTACTACTACTACTACTACTACTACTACTACTACTACTACTACTACTACTACTACTACTACTACTACTACTACTACTACTACTACTACTACTACTACTACTACTACTACTACTACTACTACTACTACTACTACTACTACTACTACTACTACTACTACTACTACTACTACTACTACTACTACTACTACTACTACTACTACTACTACTACTACTACTACTACTACTACTACTACTACTACTACTACTACTACTACTACTACTACTACTACTACTACTACTACTACTACTACTACTACTACTACTACTACTACTACTACTACTACTACTACTACTACTACTACTACTACTACTACTACTACTACTACTACTACTACTACTACTACTACTACTACTACTACTACTACTACTACTACTACTACTACTACTACTACTACTACTACTACTACTACTACTACTACTACTACTACTACTACTACTACTACTACTACTACTACTACTACTACTACTACTACTACTACTACTACTACTACTACTACTACTACTACTACTACTACTACTACTACTACTACTACTACTACTACTACTACTACTACTACTACTACTACTACTACTACTACTACTACTACTACTACTACCCCCCTCTACAACCTTGGTATGCGTAACCTTGTCGAAGACCGTACTGCTTGCAGCCTTGGTCGGGTCAGGGGGCTTTGAACTGACGGCATACCTCCTTTTTTACACTTATCGTAACTCCTCCATCCTTTTACATGATCCTATAAACGCTGACATACATCGACTCTGACATACTTTTGTAGCATGGATACTGCATTTTTTTTGCGGAGGGTGGCGGCTCCCCGTAGCACTGTGTCGGGCAGGAGGAGGAGGTTAGACTTGATGCGGTGACTGGGGAGGCCCGGGCATCTCTACCGCTACTAAAGTTGGACGTCCGCAAATAAAAAAGATGTGGCAATCCTTCTAACTAAGGCGTCTGGCCATTAAAGAGCTTCATGGAGGGCACCTTTAGTGCACACCAGCTGGTACTCTTTCGCGCGGCCGGTATTAATAATGTGGTAGTCGTATTCACCTTGGCTGGTGGACTGGGGCTGACATGAAACGGGAGAACCACACGCCTACACTTTAACAATACCTCTTCACCTAGTTTACTATTTCTGGGAACTCCTAAAAAGTAGTCCCTAGCCGAGGGCAGAAGGTTCGCCCTATTTGCCGTGCGGTGCGACCCGTGAGTGGCCAAAGGAAGATCCTGGGCAGAAAGGCGATACCTAGGCTGCGTGCCGAAGTGACCCAAGCTGTCTTTGGCTCCTGCTGACTGCAAGACGGGAGGCCAGATTCTTATCCAGGTCCGGTCAATCGGCTAACACTAGGGCGGCTGTGGATGGGGGTGGGCTGGTTGCGCTGCTGCTGGCATTGCTGGCCTGTCCCTTTCCGTGGCTCCCTTAGTGTGGTGAGTGCGTTCTACCACATGATGTCTGCCGGAAACTCTCCAGAGAGTGGATCGCTTCTGATTGGGGCGTGATGCTTGAGGGAGTGGAGGTGGGCTAGGGTGGCAGGGCGTACTATATCTTGGGGTTACCCACCCGGACCAAAACCGCCCTTCAGACATGTGTTGGGGGCGGTCGGCGGCCTCCACCGGTAAGGGATCCAGATGGGTCGGTGGGGACCCTGGGATGAATTTTGTGTGTTCTAGATATGGCGCTAATTTCAACAACCAAAGGAGGATGGGAAGCAGAAACGGATGAAAGGATACACCGTTTTATTAAGGACACCGTGGAGAAGCACGATCAGGGGGGAGAGTTGGACGTTGCTGCTGATGCGGCGTTCGATGACCTAGCCAGGGCCTTGGACGAGCTGAGGGCGCTCATGGTGAGGCACCCCAACACGGCAGGCACGATCAAGACCAACCTCGTTGCGGCGGTGGCTGCCATGGGTGTCCTGAGACGCCTTCAGAAGCGGGTAAGAGAAAAAGAAGAACTGCCTTTAGGTAACAACCAGGCAAAGGCTGAAAAAGCAGGAAAAAGGAAGCGAGGAGGAGGGGGAGGGACACCAAGCCCTCAGTTTACGCTAGGTAAGGCTGTGAAAAAGGTAAAAGGGGCTAGATCTCAGCTAAAACCAGAGAGTGTTCCAGCAGAAGTTCTAGTCGAGAAAGCTGAATAGACGAAGGTCCAAAGAAAGAGAAAAAAAAAAAAAAGAGGCTAACTGGAACAAGCCCCAAAAAGGTACGTTGAAAACCCCTAAAGTCGCGATGGAGAGACGTCCCAGGGTCAGGCCTAAAGCGATATTGGTTGTGCCAGCCCAAGGCAAAAAGTATTCCGAGGTCCTGGCCCTGATAAAGAAGGTTGACGTTACCGGGCTCGGGGCGAGCGTGGGATCTGTCAGGGAGACGAGGACGGGAGGTGTCCTCGTCGAACTGAAAAATACTGAGTCCAAGCACCACGATGCGTTCGCTGAGGCAATTAAAAGTGCCGTGGCGGACGCAGGTGGTGTGAGGACACTGGCCCCGCGCTCGACCTGGGAGATAAGGGACGTCGACCCAACGGTGACAAAGGGGGACGTCAAAGCAGCAGTAAAATGCCCCGATTCTTGAAAAGAGGGACCACATTAGGCTGGGCTAAGTTAACTGCAGGATGTGACAAAAGATCACAGTTGAGCGTTGCTTCAGGTGCCTACGCTTCGGGCACATTGCGAGGCAGTGTGGCGGGCCTGACAAGACCAGGGCGTGCTGGAGGTGCGGTGAAAAGGGTCACGTGGCACGAAACTGCTCGAAGAAAGAAGTGAGCTGTTTACTGTGCAAAAACGTGGTCCCGAAGCCGGACACCAGACATGTCGCTGGTACTGCCGGGTGTGGGGCGCCTCGGGCGCCTGCAGTGACGACTTGGCGGAAATGGCGCTGATCCTGCAGGTAAACCTGGATAGGACCGTGCTCGCGCACGATCTGCTGGACCAGTTTTCCCGTGCCCAGGGTATGGATATGCTCTTCATAAGTGAGCCATACCGCACGTTAGCAGGCCGAGGCTGGTTCTGCGACAGGACAAGAGGCGCAGCCATCCTGATTCGCAGCAACAAGTTCTCCGTATCTGATACCGGAGGTGGAGACGGGTTCGTGTGGATCAGGTGTGGTAGGGTTTTTTTTATGAGTTGCTACATATCCCCTGACATTTCGATTGGTGTCTTCAGAGAGGGGCTTGCCGAACTCGAGGATACTGTCCGAGTGTGCAGGGAAAGTGGTGATGTAGTCCTGGCTGGCGACTTTAACTCCAAGGCCATCGCTTGGGGGGAGCCGAGAACCGACCCCAGAGGACGGGTGGTGTTAGAGATGGCTGCAAGGCTGGATCTCATCATCATGAACTCTGGTGGTTCAGCAACGTTCAGGTGACCTGGTTACCAAAGAACGATCATCGATCTCACGCTGGTGTCGTCAGAAATGGTGGCATGGATCTCCGACTGGCAAGTCCTGGAGGACTACACGACCAGTTATCACCAGTACGTCAGCTTCGTGATACACGAGGATCGTGGTGCAACTTCACGAGATTTAATCCAAAGGCGCGTTAACGGGTGAAACATTGCAAAACTCAACCGAGATCTGCTACTGGAAGCCATGGTTGGTGCGCGACCTCCAGCCGATTTAAGCAAGATCGAAAATCAAGCGGAGGCTGAGGCATTCGTGAGTGGCACGACGAGACGGGTCAAGGAATGGTGCGACGCGTGTATGCCCAAAAGGTCTGCAGGGAGGGGTCAACGTTCGTGCTACTGGTGGACTTAGGACATTGCTAACTTAAGCAGAGAGGCGCAGCATCTACGGCGTCTTGCACAGTGACATAGAACTCGCGAAGGCACCGGGGCAGCTGCTGCCGCGTACAAGGAAGCAAAAAAAGTGCTGGTGAGGGGAATCAAGGTGAGTAAGAACTTATACTGGCGCGAGCTTAACGCCGAGGTGGATAAGGACACGTGAGGTCTTGGCTACCGGATCACGTTAAAAAGACTTTGCTGTTCGGACCCGACGCCGCTGATGAAACCTTCCTTATTAGAGAAAGTGGTTTCTTGCCTCTTTCCGGAGCATCCCGCCAGGAGGCAGGAGGACATAAGTGTAGGACAGGTACCTTTCTTTACTCTCGAGGAATTGAGGTCAGTGGCATCGGAGACGCCAGGGCATAAGGCCCCCGGTCCGGACGGGGTGCCGTCCGAAGTCCTCAAGATCATAGCTGCGGAGAAGCGACACGTTATGTTGGACATGTTCAATGCGTGCCAGCGCGTTGGACTGTTCAGCAGGCGTTGGAATATCCAAAGGCTTGTTCTTATGGACAAGGGCAAGCCACCCCCCCTGGTCCCGTCGTCATTCCAACCCTTAGGTATGTTGAACAATGCTGGAAAGATGCTAGAGACGCTGATAAGAACCCGCTTGAGAGGGGAAGTCAGCCTCTCAGAAAACCAGTATGGGTCCCGAAAGGGACGATCGACGGTTATGGCTGTGGCTGAGGTTCTTGAGTTGGTCAAGGAGGCATGGAAACCCTCTTATAAGACGAGGAGCGTCTGTGTCCTGGCGACTCTTGACGTAAAGAATGCCTTTAATTCGGCAAAATGGTCCGGCATAATGAGGGACCTGAAGCGCCAAAATGTACCGGACAACCTAAGAAAGATCCTGGATAGTTACCTCCAGGATCGAGTACTCCAGTACAAATTTACAACAAATTTTTGCGCCTTGAAATACCTCCGGGGTTCAAGCTGACGGGCTTTGCTGACGACATAGCATTGCACGTCACAGCGAGATCGCGAGAAGAGGCCAAGCGCAAAATACGGTGGGCGGTCGCGATAGTGTCGAAGTGGCTCCGGGATCACGGTTTTGAGCTAGCTGTAGGAAAAACGGAAATGGTCGTCCTCACCAGGCAGAGGTGGTTCGGGGGTGACTTTTGCCTGAGCGTTGTGGGTGAGGTAATCTGCGCGAGTCCGGTAGTACGCTACCTTGGAGGGTGGATCGATTCACGACTTACCTTCGGGGAGCACATCAGAAGAGCAGCCGATAAAGCCACTCGGGTCTCTGGGGCGCTTTCACGGTTAATGCCAAACGTTGGGGACCCGTGGGAAGCCAAAAGACGGCTTCTTGCATCGGTCTCCAACTCGATCCTGCTGTGCGGCGCGGAGATATGGATGGACGCACTCGCGAAGAAGGATGTCCAAGAGCGCTTAACTTCGGTGCTGCGCATCAGATCCCTATGAATCGCGTGTGCCTACTTTATGGTCTTCTCCGCTGCCACTATGGTGATAGCACGAACAATTTCCGTCATGTTGCTTGCGCAAGAGCGGCGAAAGAAATTCCTGGGCTCTGGCGACGAAAGTGATAGCAACAGACAGAAGGAAACGTTGACGACGTGGCAACAGAAGTGGGGTCGGGCTGTAGTGGGTAGATGGACGCACCACCTCATTCCGCACCTACGCCCATGGATGAAGAGTGGGCATGGAGAGGTAAACTACCACCTCACCCAGTTTCTCTCCGGGCATGGCCAGTTTAATGCCTATCTTCGTCGCATGGTAGTGAGGGCATCACCTAGGGGTTCTTACTGCCCTGTGTTGGATGATACCGTCGAACTTACGTTTTTCGTGTGTGAGAGATGGCACCGTGAGCGCCAGCAGCTGGTGAACAGGGTCGGCGTGGCGCCCACCCCCGAAAACATCATCTCTAAGATGCTCAGCAGCGGAGAGGGGTGGTCCGTGGTAGATGGCTTCGTTGGGTCTGTCCTCCGGCAGAGAAAAGAAGAGGAGAGGGCCGCCGTGCAGGTAACGGGGGCCCCTTAGTAGGTAAATGTGGACCCAAGCTTAGTATTTATACTGATCAGCGAGGGAAAGCATTAAGTAAGTGCTAGAATACAGGTGCCGGCCTTCAGGGACCCCGAGTAATTTTCAGGGCTCGAGAGGATCGGCACCTCTAGCAACTGGTGGCAAGCTTGCTCGCTAATGCTGTGAGACGTGATGGTCTCCTTAGTGGCTTCATCCTGAAGTAATGCTAACGCGGTTCCAGGGTGGATCAAGAGCCACGCCGCATGGGGGGGTTTAAGTGGGTATGGGTGGTCTAATAAAAAAAACCCACTGAGTTCCACGCTACCACTGTCCCTGCAATAAAAAAAAAAAAAAAAAAAANGTGTTGGCCTTCGCGGGTCAGTACGACACTAAAAAGATGCTAAAATGAAAAACGATGATGTAAAACAAGTACCCCAGGCAGTAACCTCTCTGAGGGAATCCGCTGGCAGTTCCGATCCGGTGAAAGCTCGGGTGATTGACGCAGGCCCACGGATTCTAGGGGGGGGGGGCACAAAGACGTGTCTCATGGCCAACAGGGACTGCTAAATGTTCCATGGCCTTTTCTTACAGACAAAGAATGAAGAGAAAGCCTAATTAGTATAGGCACTTATGACACCGAGGGCAGCAACGTGTCAGTATTTAGCAATCAGACCCGTGAGTAGCTTGCCTCTTTAGAAGAAAGTGTCGCTATTCTCAGAGTAAAGCGACAGCAAGTTGCTGATAAAGTCCAATCAGCAACGGAAGAACATTACAGAGACGCTACAAATGATTAACGAAAAGTACGGCAACACAGGGAACGCTGTTAAAAATGGGCTCAAAGCGGCGCTTGAGCATCTTCAAGAAGCAGAGGGGCTGAGAAAAGGCTGTCTCACTGAAGAAGTTGTGTATACTAACGCTTTGAAGTCGTCATTTAAATCCCTGCAGTGGAGGGAACAAAGGCGAGATTATTTTTGATGGCATGTACAGAAAAAAACCCTGAATACTGCTCTAAAAGAAACAGAACGAATTAAAAGAAACAGGAGCCCATCGGACAGCCCTGAGAAACGCCAGCAGACTATGTCTTCAGAGAAAAAGAAAACAGGTAGTGGCCAACAAAAAAAAATTCTCCTGAATAATAAAACAAGCCAGAAGAAAAAAGTGGACGCCGCAACAGCAGTAGTAGTGAAGATGGCTGAAGGACAGACCTTTGCAACGGTGCTGAAGACGATAAAGGCGAACTTTGACCCCCATAAGACTAACGTAGCAGTCCAAAGTGTTGTCACTACAAGAAAAAGAGACATACTTTTTAAGGCCAAAGGTGTACAGAATGCTACTGCATTTTCACAGCAAATTAAAAAGTCGGTAGCCGGAGAGGGTACTGTCAAAATGAGCAACATAAAAGTGACGTTAGAGGTCCGAGACCTGGATGCCATTGTAGAGGAAGATGAGGTCAAAGAGGCTTTTGCTAGGACTTTTGGACATCAGAGCCAGGAGCCAGAAGTAGCTCTCTTAAAGCCAAATGCCATGGGACAAAGGCTGGCGTTGATCAAGGTGGACAAATCATCTGCCCGACAAGTAGAAAAGGAAGGCAGGTTACGAGTTGGCTTTGTAAGCGGCCGAATTCGAAAAAGAATTGAAGTAACAAGATGTTACAAATGCCTTGGATATGGGCACGTCTCAGGCAACTGTAAGAATGAAAACGGATCCAAGCTTTGCTTCTGGTGTGGGAGCTTAAACCACCGGAAGAAAGAGTGTCCAGTCCCAGCACTGTGCTTTCTTTGCCCAACAACGGACGACAAGCACGAAGCAGGCAGTGGGAGCTGCCTTTTATTTAGAAGAGCCCTAAAAGAGGCCGTGGATGAGGCCCATGCAGGATCAAAATAAGGCAAAAAAGACTTGAATTGAAAGACAGGCTAATGTAGACCCACGCTGCGCTGGGTACTTTTTACCTATCAGCAAGGGAAAGCATTAAGCTTATAGTGGTGCTGGCTAAGTAGGCAGCCTACTATGAAGCGCTAGACACGGTGCTGGTCCCTCAGGGACCCCGAGTTCTTTTTAGGACTTGAGAGCATCAGCACCTTTAGCAGATGGTGTTGAGTTAGCTTGTTAATGCTGTAAGACACGATGGTCTCCCTGGTAGCTCCACCCTGAAGTAATGCTAACGCGGTTCCGGGGTGAATCAAAAGCCACTCGGTATCGGGGGGGGGAGGTTTAGTGGGTATGGGTGGTCTATTAAAAAAAAATACACCGAGTCCCACACCACCGTTGTCCCTGCGGTGTGCGTTAATGCATCTACCCTCCCTCCACGAAAAAAAAAAAAATAAATAAAACAAAATAAATTAAAAATAAAAAACTACTACTACTAATACTCCTGGGTGGGGGTTTGCTAGTTTTTTCATACCAGGCGCTTCCCGGGTGGTGGATAGGGGCATTCTCTCAAGAAATGAGGTGACGACGCGCAGTTGTGATGGTTCTCTGTGGTGGTGGTTGTGGGCGTGGATCAGGAGGTGTGTGCGGTGTTGGTGGATGTATCTGTAGCAGTGTGAACGGGAGATTCGTGCCCTCTGTCTTCATCGATGTGGATGCATGGGCCGGCCCTGCTTATGCTCCTTGTTCTTCGCTTTCTGCTGTTGCCGTGGGACGTACCTCAATGCTTGATGCGGGCCAACAAAAACTAGCACCCATCGTGTATAGAAGTAAGCAGTGGCCATAACATGCTTCTCAGATACATGCATAACACTTCCGCTATACAAAAATAGGTTTACTTATGGATTGTCCTGGGCTGTGGGTGGCAGGGCCTGTCCCAGGCTTGCGTTGGAGACCTGGTGCCCGGTGAAGCTGGACGATGTGGCCCAGGTTAGTCTGGATAACCATATATGATATGGCTGTACGCCTCATAAACGAAAAAGGCTGACTAACTTAGCCTTACTACCACTAGGGAGGCTATATGGCGGATCCTTTGTGCCTTACGTCAGCTCCTTTCGTCGAATTGTCTGCGCCTGTCATGGGTCTGTACACCTGCCACTTGTCTCACTGGGATGACTGTAGTGTACGAACATATACATACTTTACACTCGAACACTATTCTTAGACTTGTTACTCAACGCCAGGGCAGTCTCTGTGGGAGGGACTGAGAGAGAGTGGTGACTCCCGGCCGGCCTGAACAAAGTAGCAGTTCTTTCTGGTAACAGAGAAGGCTGCTGCTTTGGTTTTGACCCTTCCTAAATATTTCTATTAAGAAAAAAAGGTTGTGCTGGCCTTCGTGGGTCAGTATGACATTAAAAAAGATGCCAATATGAAAAACATCGATGCAAAACTTGTACCCTAGGCGGTAACCTCGTTGAGAGAATCTGCCAGCAGTTCCAATCCAGTGAAAGCCCGGGTGACTGTTGCAGGCGCGACGGAGGGGGGGGCGAGGCAGAAAGACTTGTCTCATGGTCAACAGGGACTGCTGAATGTTCCATGGCCCTTTCTTACAGTCAAAAAAAGAAGAGAAAGCCTGTTGAGCATAGGCACCAACGGCTTCGAGGACAGCAACGTGTCAGTATTTAGCCACCAGACCCAAGATGAGCTTGCCTCTTTAGCAGAAAATGGTGCTAAGCTCAGAGTAAAGCGACAACAAGTGACTGATAAATTCTAATCAGCAATGAAAAACATTATAGAGATGCTAAAAGCAATTAATGATAAGTATGGTAACACAGCGAACGCTATTTAGAATGGGCTCAAAGCTGTGCTTAAACACCTTGAAGTGGCAGAGAAGATAAAAAAAAGCTTTCTTCCTGAAGACAAAGTGTTTGCAAACTCATAGAAGGCAGCATTTGAATCTCTGAAGTGGATTGAACAAAGGTGAGATAATTTTCGATGGCATGTACAGAAAAAGATCCTGAACACTGCCCGTCCTGTATACAGGTAACCAGCAGTCATAACATTTTTCTCAGATACATGCATAACACTCTTATTAAAAAACAAGAAATGAAAAGAAAAATTAAACAAGCAATGAAAAAAAAAAAAACAAGTTAAAAGATCCAACCAGGACGTATAAATAGGTCATGGGACCCACGGTAAGAACGAAGTTCTTTCAACATGAGAAGAGTATAAAGATACACAATTTTTCAGGTAACAAGGAGGTCGCCAGACCCATAATAAGAACGAAGTTCTATAAAAATCAGTACTGCATCCATGTAGTTCATTAAAACAAGAACTTAAAAAACGAATAAAACAAAAATAAAAAAATTTAGAACTTCATTCTTACCGTGGATCCCATGACCCATTTATACCCCTGGTTTGTTTCTTTTGATTTGTTTTTTTTTTTTTCATTTCTTGATTTATTTTTTTTTTCATATTTCAATTAATTATAATTTCATATTTCAGGCATGTGACTCTAATGCTTGTTGGTAAATTAGAATTCAATACGTCCAATAGGTATACAAGCGAACGTCGATACACTTTAATCATTGTATCAATAGGCGCATATGCATAGATGGCGGTACTCTTCATACAAGCACTCTCTATTACCATCCATACATGCCCTTTCTCAATATATAAGATATAGAAAATACTTGATAATACAAATCCACGTAATTTCTTTTTCAAGAAATTTTCCTTTAGAGAAATAATTAAGAACGAGAAAAAATCCTCCCCGGGTGCGGATCGAACACACAACCTCCTGTTTACTAGACAGTTGCTCTACCACTTGAGCTACC